GAGGGGACGTTGCCCCTGCCCGCCTCCCGCCGCCCCCCGCCCTCGGGCTCCCGAATCTCAGTCGGCGCCCAGCATCCTGCTGCCCCGGACCCTCCCGCAGGCGCGCACCGGGCTCTACTCAGGTAAGAGGGCCCTCCTCACACGGGCACGGGGACCGGGAACTAGAGACCCAGAGATGGAGATAGAGACATAGACCCATGTAGAGACGCAGAGACAGAGCCGGGGGGAAAAAGAGAGACAGACACAAAGAGACACAAAAGAGACGCACAGAACCACAGAGACAGACCCCATGGGGCAGGGGAGAGAGACATCCACGGGGACAGAGGGACACACAGCCATGAAGAAAGAGAGGGAGAGACATTAGAGACCCATACACACAGAGACAGGGAGTGAGACACGCAGATACTGATACAGAGATATACAGAGACAGACTGGGAGGGAAATGAGACACACAAGAGACATACTCAGACACTCAGAGTGGGGACACACAGATAGACAGCTACAGAAACATAGAGGTGGGTATACAGAGGCAGAGGCACACATACAGGTAAGGGAACTGAGAGACAGAGTAAGAGACACACAGACACACACCTGACCTGGAGAGATAGTCCCACAGAGAGGCACACCTAGGTACATAGCCTTGGATACACAGACCTACACATGCCTGCCAGGGCCTCCACAAAGTTCCCTCTGTGTGAGCTGCTGCCTCTGGAGGTCTCCTGGACTGGCTGGCTGGCTGGAGTGCTGAGAAGGGGGAGGCACCCAGGCCACACTGAAGCTGATCACAATCCCCATCCTCCCAGGCCTTGGACTACTTCAGTTCCACCCACTCACAGAGTGATTTTGAGGTCTGGAAGCTTGATGGGTAGGGCCAGGCCATGCCCACCTGTTCTAAGGAGAATGAGATATGGGCTGCCTACTCCAGCTTCCGTACTGTGGCTACACCCTCCTCCAGGTGCCCAGAGCCAGGCCTGAGCCTGTGGGAGTTGGCTCTGTGGAGTATTTGGGCCTGCTGGAACCCAAAGTCCTCTGCCAGGGAGGCCAGAGATGTGGGAGGGCTCTCTCTTCTCTACTCCTCTCCTAGGCTTCACCCCATCCCTTCTCTTCACCACCCTTTCCTTTATTCTGTACCCCCCACAGACTCAGGACTGCAGGTGGACATCTCCATTGTCCAAGAATCATTGAGTGTGCAGACAGGACAGCCTCCTTGGAAGGCCGGCTATACCAGAGTCCTGCCTCGGCATGGGCCTTGCCATTGAGGCAACCCCGCTATCTGTGCTGGTCTGAGGGTGCTGCCCGTCATGGGGTCAGCCATCTCCCAGGGGGCCCTCATAGCCATCGTCTGCAACGGCCTCGTAGGCTTCTTGCTGCTGCTGCTCTGGGTCATTCTCTGCTGGGCCTGCCACTCCCGCTCTGCTGACATCGACTCGCTCTCCGAATCCAGTCCCAACTCCAGCCCTGGCCCCTGTCCTGAGAAGGCACCCCCACCCCAGAAGCCCAGCCATGAAGGCAGCTACCTGCTGCAGCCCTGAAGGTCCCTGGCCTAGCCTGGAGTCTGGGACCTAAGTCTACCCCACCCAGAGCCTGGAATCAAGATCCCAAGGTCCAGCCGGCCTGGGGTCCAGAACTCGGAATACAGCCTGTCTGGAGCTGGACCTAGCAGCCCAGAGTCTAGCCAGCTTGGCTCCAAGAGGGGCTCTGGTGGCCCTAGGTAGATAGGCCCGGGGTGGGCATTTATGAGTTGGTGCTAGGGCCAGGGCCATCTGGACTCTGCTCCATCCCAAGGGCCGGGGTCTGGGTCCATCCTCTCCCCTAGGCTGAGTGCTTCTAGGCCCTCTCCGTTGGGGAAGCAAACTGGAATCCATGGCAATAATGGGAGGGGGTCCAGGCTGGGCCCCTCCTCTGGTCCTCCCACTGTTTGCTGGATAATAAATTGAACTATGGCTCTACCCTGAGATTCTCTCCTCTTCCTGAGGGCCCTGTGCTAGCAAAATTAAAGGTGGAATTGGGCTTTCAGACATAGGTTTATTTGTGCAAAGTAGGAGTGGGTAACAATGGTTGAGGGCCAACTCCTGGGACCAGGGCTGAAGCAGAGTGCTAAGGGCAGATGCTGGGACCTGATCACAAGAGGGGTCACATACTAGGTCCCAAGGCTAGGCCTGCATACCAGGGTCAGGGGTTACAAGTACTGGGTTCAAGAAATGGGACTGGGACTGAGGCCAGGCCCTCAGACCTTAGGTTTCACTTCCCTCACCAGGTTCAAAATTTTGCGATCTCCACAGCTGGCCCCTTCTGGACTTCCTGCCCCTTCTTCTCCTGGGGAGAAGGGAAATACACGTGGGGGAAGAAAGGTGAGGAATGGGCCACCTTGTCCTACCGCCTCTGCTCAGCCAGCCCCAGCTGTGACCAGCCCTCCCCAGCCTGGTTAGGTTCTAGATCCCTGCCCACCCCCGACATGATTCTTTCCCAACTCAAGTTAGGTGACACAAGGGTCTAGCTGAGGTCTAGCTCTGGCTCTGAACCTCAGACCTATTTAAGGTCTTGATACTGGTAGGAGTGGGGAAAGGTATCCACCCACTGACCCTAGGAGGAACTAGCCAGGGGGAGCTGTAGCCCTGGGGAGAGTTGGGTCTCTGACTATTGGGACCACCCTTCCCTGAGGAAGGTCCCCGGCTGAGTTCTATGAGCGAGGGGGTATATGTTTGCAGAGGGAGAAGGACGTGGGCAGAGCCACAGGTGTCCTCACTTAGTACTCTAACCTAATACTTTCAGGTCAGGTTGGAAGTGGGGTGCTGCATCAGACATGCCCAGGGTAGGGGCGGGGGGTGTCGGGAGACCCAGGAAGGCAGATAGGATGGATATCCCATGTAATTCTTGGCTGGGACTGTTCCTCAGAAGAGCAGATCTGAGTTTATGACCCCTCACCCCTCTCCTACAGAGCACTCTAATGCTTTAGCTGGTAAGGTGGGCCCTGAGAAAAAGAGTTGGGACATTAGGGTGTGTGTCACACAGGCCCCGAGAGTTCCTTGGCCAGCACCAGTCCCATCTCCCTTCTGTCTAGTCAGTGGGGTATGGGCAGCTGCCATTTCTTGCCTTCCCTCTGCTCCCTAGCCCCCTGCCCTCTCAGCCACCTGTGCCCACTGCTCACTGGCACCTGCCCCAGCCTTGCCTGCTGAGAGCCCAGCCTGGGTCTGGCCTGGCTGTGAGGTGAGAGAGTGTACAGGGCCAGCAGCCCCCTTCCTGGCCTCATCCTGGCTGCTGATACCATGCGAAGCTCATATTTCCTCCTAGTGTGACCCCTGCACCTGCTCCCAAATCTGTCTCTGCTCCTCGTGGGACCCAGTGCCTTTGCCACCACCCAGCTCACCTCTGCACTCTCAAGGCAGAGGACAAAGATATTTTTTTCTCTTCCTTCCCACTCTTTCTCTTCTTGGCCTCATCCCGCCCGCTGGGAAGTACAGGTCCTGGCTTTTAGTTCCAGTTTTGTCATTAACCCTCTATATGACGTTGGGCAAGTCCCTTGCTTTTCTGAGCTTGTTTCCCAGCTAAACAGTAGGTAAAGCTTTTGACAAGCTGAGCTCTGACACCAATCATGGGAAGCTCCTTAGGCGGGGAGTTGGACCTGTGTGGCCAAGCCCCCTTGGGAAGGTGAGGAGGCTGCAGTCCCAGGAGGAAGGCCAGGAGGGATGCCCAGGGGACTTCCATTTGCACCAATCACTTGGCTGCTGATAGGGTCAGATGGCAATTTCACAGGAACCCCAGTCTACTCAAGTATCAGCTCCCAGCTGTCACTTGCTCAAGTGCTCTAATTCCAAGGTACCCATGTCCTCAGGTCCTCAGAGACATAGGCCATCAGATACAGAGTCCAGCTCTCCCACCCATGGCTGACCCTTGCTCTGAGAGAATTGAGACTGACTGTAGGAGATCCTTGCCTCCCTGGGTCAGAGTGAATGGAGTAGACCCCCACCCACATCTGCCACCCTCACAGTGTGATGGGTGTACCCCGTCCCAACAGGTGACCATCATCTCCCCAACGGGGCTGTCCAGCTCTGCCAGCTCAAACCTGGGTCTCTTTCCTCACTAAATTAGGAGCAGATTTTATCTGTTCCACAAGTTGTGCTGCCTCCCTCCCACTACTTGAGGCCAACTAGCTGGGTTCAGCAAAGAACTTCAGACCACGCCCTGCCCCACCCCCAGCCCCACCCTACCCCACCCCCAGTCCCAGCCCCAGCAGACCACAGCCTCTGGGCCACAGCTGCAGGCGCTTAGCAGCCTTTTGAGTATTTATAGCCAAGTCCACCCCCTCCCCCAGCTGGCTACAATTACAGGCCCGGCCAAACTTCCAGCCCTTGCCTCCATGGCCATGGAATGGAATAGTCTAGGCCGACACCAGAGAGATGGTGCAGTGACCCCTGCCTTGGTAGGGGTGTAGAGAAGCAGGTGTCAGTAGTTGAAAGAGACAGGCCCCTGCCCTTGCCTCAAACTGCAGTAAATGTCTCAAATTGTAACTATGAGGTACAGTCATCAGGGCAGTTTGGCCCAGCCCTGGCCTTGCTTTCATCCTGGCCTAGAATTTGGCAGAAAGCAAATTTCATTTCCTCTGTTAGCACCCAAGTGGGCAGAACTGGTCTCTGGGCTCCTGGGCTCTGGATTTTTAAGTTGGGCTCTTGGGCTGTGGATTCTAAGGTTTGGATTAAGTCTAAATCGGAACTCTGAGATGTAGACTTTAAGGTCATGGCTCTGGGCCCCGTGGCCTGTATTTGGGGCCCTTGGGCTCTGGGCAGGGTCTCCAGTTCATTAGGGATCCCAGAAAGAAACCAGAGCTCAAAAGGAGGACTGCCTGGCTGCTGACCTAGTTACCTTCCTCACGGCTCATTTCCTTCTTCCCTGTGTGGACCCATAGCTCCCAGCTCAGGGACCTTTGGAGCTGAAGCCCTATGTAAGCCCAGCCAATGAAGCAATGACTAAGCTTCAAGACCCCTGCCTGGGTGACCTGGTCTACACTAAATAAGCCAATGGTGCGCATGTGTTTTCCCCCAGGCTTCAGACCCATATGGTCACCTCCTCGCTAGATATCTCCACCCGGGGGCCTCGCAGGTAACTCAGGTATTATCTGATTTCATTGTCTCCCCACAAACCCTCTTCTATGCTCCTAATTTGGGCTATGACACCACCCTTACCCTGGGTCTCCCAGGCCACAAACCTTGGGGCTACTCCCTGGCCCTTCCCCTTTCTCCCATCCCCCCCCCACCACCCTGGAGACCATTTCTTTTAGCATCCCAAACTCCCCCAGGGTACCTTCGGCATCTTTCGCAAGTTGGGTGAGAGTTTGAGGCAGGTGACATGCCCACGGTCATCACCAACAATGATGATGGGGTGGATGGGATTGAACTGCACATGAGTGATCTTGTTCTTCTTTTTGGCCACCACAGGCTGATTGCAAATGGCCTCGTATTTGTTGATGGACAGGTCAAACACATGGGTCTGTGGAGAGGTGGGTGTCAGCACAACTGGGGCTAATGAGGCCCCTTTTCCCCACCTCAGAGGAACCACTCCTGGGCTTTCTGGAGAAACATGACAGAAGCCTAGCACAGTGGAGCTGGAAGCAGTGGGAAAAGGGATTTGTTTATGTTTTTCCTGTGGTTAACGAAATACAAATAAAGAATTTAGGAGAAAATTTAAGTCTATGCAGAATTAACAATAATAGCAGCTACCACTTATTGAGCGCTTCTATGTACTAGACTCTGGGCAAGCATGTTACATGGTTGTCTCATCTAATTATCCTCACAGCCACTCTAGAAGGTAGGTTCCATTATTATCTCCATTTTATAAATGAGGAGATAGAGACTTTTAAAGCTAACTTGCTAGTAAGTAGCAAGTTATACCAGTTATTATTCAGAAAGTGCTTGTCACATAAGTGCTCCACAAATGTTTCCTCTTATTTTTGTCATACCCTAAGTCTAAACCATTAGCAACTCTCGCCTGGACCACTATGGCAGTGTCTTAACTGGTCTCCCTGCTTCCACTCTTGCCCTTCTACAATCCATTCTCCATGCAGCAGCCAGATTTACCTTGAAAACATCTAAAATCCTCCAACAGTCTCCCTCTGCACCATATGTAAAATCCATATTCCTTACTCTAGATTCCCTACTCTCATCTCGTGCTCTATCCGCTTTGCTCACTGGACCCCAGGCGAACTTGCCTGCCTGATCCTTAAACTCCTCAAGCTCGGTTCTCACCTCAGGCTCTGTGGAATACCCAAAGGCCCCCATCTTCACATGGCTGGCTCTTTCTTGTCATTGTCATTCAACTCTCAGTTTGAATATCACCTTTTAAAGGAAGCTTTCCCCGACCACTTTAAGAGATCACCCAGTCCTTCTTTTTACACCATTCTCTTTCTTCTTTAAATATAAGTTTTATTAAGATATAATTCACTAATTTAAAGTACACAATTATTTTATTTTATTTTTTTTACAATTCTTGGCTTTTCGTATATTCAGTTGTGCAACCATTACCACAAAAAATTTTAGAACATTTTCTTCACCCCAAAAAGAACCCTGTACCCATTAGCAGTCATTCTCCATTTTCTCCCAATCCACTTGGCCCTAGGCAACCACATCTACTCTCTGTCTCCACAGATTTGCCTATTTAGACAACTATAAATAGAATCATATAATGTGTGGTCTTTGTGACTGGAATTCTTACACTATTCTTACACTAAGCATGTTTTCAAATTATCCGTGCTGTAGCATCTATCGGTTTTTCATTCCTTGTTATTGCTAAATACTAATCCTTTTGGATATACTACATTTTGTTTATTTATCAGTTGAAGGGCATTTGGGTAGTTTCTACTTCTTGATCATTAGGGATAATGTTGCTATGAACAGTTGTATACACCCCATGTCCTCTTTTAATTTATGCCCAGCACTAACACTATGAGAATTTCGTTG